GAGAGATCAGGGAAGAGACCAGAGAGCAGACCAGGAGAGACCAGTGAGATACCAGAGAGAGACCAGAGAGAGGCCAGAGAGAGACCAGAGAGTACAGAGACGAGACCAGAGAGGAGGACCAGAGAGAGCCAGGGAGAGAACAAGAGAGAGACCAGAGATGGACCAGAGAGAGGGCCGAGCAGAGACCAGAGAGGATACCAGAGAGAGGACAGGAGAGACCAGAGGAGACCAGGAGAGACCAGAGAGAGCAAAACAGAGACGAGACCAGAGCGAGACAGGAGGACCAGAGAGAGACCAGAGATAATGAGACCATTTCTCGCACCAGAGGAGACAGAGAGGACCAGGAGAGAGACATGAGAGAGACCAGACGAGAGACAGAGATGGACCAGAGGAGAGACCCAGAGAGAGACCAGAGAGACCAGAGAGGAGACAGAGACACCAGAATGTAGTGAGAGACCAAAGAGAGACCGGAGAGAGACAAGCTGGAGGACAGCCCGTTGTGGGTACTAAGACCTGTCCCAGTGGATACCTGGACTACCTCACAGACAGACCCCGTTTGTGAGGAACCAGGGACTTTGTGTTGAGGTCCTGACCTGCAGTTCGGGGCCCCCCAGGGGACTTCAGACACAATCACGGTCGGTTGTGTACCACCAGATGTTCTCCAACGACTATGCCATCATCGGATATCAGCTCCGGAGGGACGATGACACAGAGTACAGCGGAGTTATACAGGACTTTGTGGACGAGAAAGACCAAGGAGATGAACCACCTCCTCATCAACAGAAGACAAGGAGGTGAACCCACTCCTCATCAACAGAAGACCAAGGAGATGAACCACTCCTCATAAACAGAAGACCAAAGGAGATGAACACTCCTCATCAACAGAAGACCAAGGAGAAGAAACCACCTCCTCATCAAGCGAAGACCAAGGAGATGAACCACCTCCTCATCAACAGAAGGACCAAGGAGATGAACCACTCCACACAACAGAAAAGACCAAGGAGATGAACCACCTTCTCTATCAAAAGAAGACCGAAGGAGATGAACCACCTCCTCAACAACAGAAGACCAGGAGATGAACCACCTCCTCATCAACAGAAGACCAAGGAGAAGAACACTCTCTCATCAACAGAATGACCAAGGAAGATGAACCACCTCCTCATCAACAGAAGACAAGGAGATTGAACCACTCTTCCTCCTCATCAACAGAAGACCAAGGAGGATGAGACCACCTTCTCATCAACAGGAAGGCCAAGGAGAAGAACCACCTCTCATCAACGTGGAAGACCAGGAGCTGAACCACCGCCTCATCAACGCGGGGGAAGGATAAGGGATGAACCACCTCTCATCAACGCGGGGAAGACTAAGGAGCTGGAACCACCTCCTCATCAACATGAGGCAGACCAAGGAGATGGTTGTGGTTTTCCGCGACGTCACTCTGCCGCTCCAGCTCCAGTGAACATCCAGGGAAAGGAATCTGATGAGAGGGGACTACTTACAAGTGACTGGGTGTTCATCTGAACCACAAACTGGACTGGAGTCATAACACAGACGCCCTCTTCAAGAAGGGGCCAGAGCCGCCTTACATGCTGAGGAGGGCTCAGGGTCTTTTGGCGAGTGCAGGCGGCCACTCATGAAAGACCTCTATGACTCTGTGGTGGAAGCTTTGTACGGTGTTGGTTGCTGGTAACAGCAGCATACAGAGTAGGGACAGGAAAGAGTCTTGACAAGGGTTATCCAGGAAGTCCCAGCTCAGTCCTGGGCCGTTCCTGGACACAGCTGCAGCAGGTGGGGGACAGGAGGGTCCTGAGCAAACTAACTCTAAGCTGGGACCATTGACTGTCGCCCCTGAAGGACACTCTCTCTGCTTGGAGAGCCATGCTTCAGTGACAGACTAATTCACCCACGCTGTGTGAAGGAGAGGTTTGGACAGGTCCTTTCTTCCTGCTCTGTCAGACAGTACATACGAGAATGTTGCAAACAGGAACTGCTAATCAGTCACTGATGTTCACTATAACTTTGTCACTAGTCATTTAACTGTTATCAGTACTACTGTATATTACAGATCAGATAATCTGCTGTTCACCGTCACTTTACCTGTGATATTTGTTACGATGCTTATTCGCTAATATCATATTCTCCGCTGCTTAAAGGTACAATTTATACATCCTGTAAATACTCCTGAACCAAGGTGCAGTATAGCCAACGATTATTTTATATTTTCTTAATTTTATCTGTCTATTGTCTTAAACAAAAGAACTATTTGATGTGTGTGCAATCTGAGTGCTCTTAAGTCTCTCTTGCTGTAATGGTTGCAACGATGACTGACATTTTTTTCCCACTGTGAGACTAATAAGGTTTATCTTACTCTCAGAGGAGAGAGAGGAGACAGAGGAGAGAGAGCAGGAGAGAGAGGACAGGCGAGAGACCAGAGAGAGAGAGAGAGAGAGAGACAGAGAGAGAGCAGAGAGAGACAGAGAGAGAGACCAGAGTGAGAGACCAGGGAAGAGAGAGCAGCGGAGTGCGCAGAGAGAGAGACCAGAGAGAGACCAGGGAGAAGAGAGCAGAAGAGAGAGAGAGACCAGAGAGAGAGACCAGGAGAGAGACAGAGAGAGAGCCAGAGAAGAGACCAGAGAGAGAGGACCAGAGAGAGAGACCAGAGAGAGAGACCAGTGAGAGTGTGACCACGGCTAGAGAGACACGGGAGCGAGAAGCAGAGGATGAGAGCAGAGAGAGAGCAGAGAGAGAGAGCAGAGAGGGACCAGAGAGAACCAGGAGAGAGAGCAGAGCGAGAGCAGAGAGAGAGACCAGAGAGAGACCAGGGAGGAGAGAGCAGAGAGACGAGACCGAGAGAGAAAACCAGAGAGAGAGCAGAGAGAGACCAGAGAGAGAGACAGAGAGAGAGACAGGTATGTGAGAGCAGAGAGAGAGCAGAGAGGTGAGAGCAGAGAGGAGAGGAGAGCAAGAGAGAGACACAGAGCGAGGACCAGGCCGAGAGAGAGCAGAGAGAGAGCAGAGAGAGAGCAGAGAGAGAGCAGAGAGAGAGAGCATGAGAGAGCCAGAGCGACACACACACACTCTCTCCCTGGTGTTGCGTTTTGGTCAGGAAAAGCACTGTGTGTCACCGGCTGATAGACCCAGTTGTGAGTTCATTTCCATCATAACTGGATCCAAAAACAGCGTCATGTGGTGAGAACAAAACGCTTCCAGACCTTTCCCTCCGAGCAGCAGAACGGGCCCTCTGGTTCTCCCTGGTCCCCTCTCGCTCTCTCTCTCTCTGTCTCTATCCCCCCTCTGTCTTTGTCTCTCTCTCTGGTCTCTCTATGGACTCACTATGGTCTCTCTCTCTGGTCTCTCTCTGGTCTCTCTCTGGACTCTCTCTGGTCTCCTCCCTGGGTCTCTCTCCTGGTCTCTCTCTGCTCTCTCTCTCTCTGCTCTCTCTATGCTTCATCTCTGCTCTCTCTACCTGGTCTCTCTCTCTGGTCTCTCTCTCTGGTCTCTCACTGCTCTCTGCTCTGGTTCTCTCTCTGGTCTCTCTCTCTGCTCTCTCTCCTGGGTCTCTCTTTCTGGTCTCTCTCTTGCTCTCTCTCTGCTCTCTCTCCCTGGTCTCTCTCTTGTCTTCTCTCTGCTCTTCTCTCTGTTCTCTCTCTGCTCTCTCTCTGCCTCTCGTCCCTGGTCTCTCTACCTGTCTCTCTCTCTGCGTCTCTCCTCTGGTCTCTCTCTCTGGTCTCTCTTCTGGTCTCTTCTGCTCTCTCTCTGGTCTCTCTCTCTCGGTCTCTCTCTTGGTCTCTCTCTCTCTGCTCTCTCTCCCTTGTCTCTCTCTGGGTCTTCTCTCTGCTTCCTCTTGCTCTCTCTCCCTGGTCTCTCTCTCTGGTCTCTCTCTCTGGTCTCTCTCTGACTCTCTCTTGGTCTCTCTTCTGCTCTCTCTCTCTGGTCTCTCTCCCTGGTCTCTCTCTCTGCTCTCTCTCTCTGGTCTTCTCTCACTTCTGAGAAAGATAACCTTTATTAGTCTTCCCAGTGGAGAAAATGTCAGTGGTCATCGTTGCACATTACAGCAGAGAGAGGACATAAGGCACTCAGATTTCAACATCGATATCGTCTATTGTTTAAGACAATAGACAATAAAATTACGATAAGAAATAAAATTAAACTTTGGGCTATAACTGCACTTGTTCAGGAGATTTACAGATGTATATATTGTACTTTGCAGCGGAGAATATGAATATAGAGCAGAATAAGCATCGTAAAAATATCACAGGTAAAGAGACGGGTTGAAAGGCAGAATTATCAGATCTGTAATAATACAGTATACTGACTAACAGGAAAAGTGACTAGGACAAAAGTTTTAGTGAACTATCAGTGACTGTTAGCAGTTCTGTTGCACATTCTCGTTGTACAGTCTGACAGCAGCAGGGCAAGAGGACCTGTCAACTCTTCCTTCACACCAGCGAGGGTGAATTGTCTGTCATGAAGCTGCTCTCCAGAGCGATGAGTGTCTGCCAGGGGCGACAGTCATGTCCAGCAATAGATGTTAGTTTGCTCAGGACCTCCTGTCCCCCACTGCTGCACTGTTCCAGGGAACCAAGCCAGGACTGAGCTGGACTTCTGATATAACTTGTTTCCATAGGCTTCTTCCTGTCCCTCTAGTGATGCTGCTGTTCCAGCAGACACACCGTACAAGAGGTCCACACAGAGTCATAGAAGGTCTAAGGAGTGGCCCCTGCACTCCAAAAGACCTGAGCCTCCTCAGCAGGTAGAAGGCGGGCTATGGCCCTCATGAAGAGGGGCGTTGTGTTATGACTCAGTCGTGTTGTGGTTCAGATGAACACCAAGGTACTTGTAAGAGTCCACTCTCTCGATGTCCTTTCCCTGGTGTTCACTGGGCTGGAGCGGCAGAGTGACGTCTGCGGAAAAACACCACCATCTCCTTGGTCTTCCTCACGTTGATGAGGAGGTGGATCATTCTCCTTTGTCTTCCCGCGGTTGCATGAGGAGGTGGTTCATCTCCTTAGTCTTCCCCGCGTGATGGAGAGGTGGTTCATCTCTTGGTCTTCCTCACCGTTGCTGAGGGAGGAGGTTTCTTCTCCTTGCCCTTGTTGATGTGAAGGTGGTTCATCTCCTTTGGTCTTCTGTTGGGTAGGTGGTTCATCTCCTTGGTCTCTGTTGATGAGCGAGGTGTTCTTCTCCTTTGTCATCTGTTGATGAGGAGGTGGTTCTTCTCTTGGTCTTCTGTTGATGAGGAGGTGGTCATCTCCTTGGTCTTCTGTGATGAGGAGGTGGTTCATTCTCTTGGTTCTTCTGTTGATGAGAAGGGGTTCTCTCCTTGGTCTTCTGTTGATGAGGAGGAGGTTCATCTCCTTGGTCTTCTGTTGATGAGGAGGTGGTTCATCTCCTTGGTTTCTGTTGATGAGGAGGTGGTTCCTTCCTTGGTCTTATGTGATGAGGAGGTGGTTTCATCTCTTGGTCTTCTGTTGATGAGGAGGTGGTTCATCTCCTTGGTATTATGTTGATGTGGAGGAGGTTAACCTCCTTGGTCTTCTGTTGTTGAGGGAGGTCGTTCATCTCCTGGGTTTTTCTCGTTCCACAAAGTCCTGTATAAACTCCTCTGTCTCTGTGTCATCGACCTCGGAGCTGAGTCCGATGATGGCAGAGTCTTTGGAGAACTTCTGGAGGACACAACCGACGTGTTGTGTCTGAAGTCCCTGGGGGGGCCCCACATGCAGGTCAAGGGACCTCAGACACAAATTCCTGGTTCTCACAAACTGGGGCTGTCTGTGAGGTAGTCAGGATCCTACTGGGACAGGTAGTAGGTCACAACGGCTGTCTCCAGCTTGTCTCTCTCCGGTCTCTCTTTGGTCTCTCTCTGAGTGTCTATGGTCTCTCTATGGTCTCTATGGTCTCCTCTCTGGTCTCTCTAGTCCATCTCTGTCTCTCTCTGGTCTCTCTCTGGTCTCCTCCCTCCTGGTCTCTCTCTGTCTTTCTTGGTCTCTCTCACTGGTTCTCTCTGGTTCTCTCTGGTCCATCTCTGGTCTCTCTCTGGTCTCTCTCTGGTTCTCTCTCTGGCTCTCTCCTGCGTCTCTCTCTGTGTCTCTCTCCGGTCCTCTCTCTGGTATCTCTCTGGTCTTTCTGGCCTCTCTCTGGGTCCCATCTTGGTCTCTCTCTGGTCTCTCCCTGTCTCTCTCTGGTCTCTCCTGGTCTCTCTCTGTAATCTCTCTGGTCTCTCTCTTGCTCTCTCTCGGTCTCTCTCTGGTATCTCTTGGTCTCTCCTGGTTCTCTCTGGTCTCTCCGGCTCTCTCTATGGGTATCTTCTGGCCTCTCTCTGGTCTCTCTTGGTATCTCTCTGTCTCTCCCTGGGTCTCTCTGTCTCTCTCTGGTCTTCTCTCTGGTCCATCTCTGGTCTCTCTCTGGTCTCTCTCTGCGTCTCTCTATGGTCTCTCCCTGGTCTCTCTTGGGTCACTCCCTGGTCTCTACTCTGGTATTCTTCGCTGTCTTCTCTCTGGCCTCTCTCTGGTCTCTCTTGCGGTATCTCTTCTGGTCTCTCCCTGGGTCTCTCTCTGGTTCTCTCCCTGAGCTCTCTCTGGTATCTCTCTGGTCTCTCTCTGGTTCCTCTCTCTGGTCTCTCTCTGGTCTCTCTATCGGTATCTCACTGGTATCTCTCTGGTCTCTCCCTGGTCTCTCACTGGTCTCTCTCTTAGGTCTCGCCCTGTCTCTCTCTGGTCTCTCTCAGGTCTCTCTGGTCTCTGTCTGGTCTCTCTGTCTGGTCTCTCTCTGGTTTCTCCCTGGCTCTCTCCTTGGTCTCTCTCTGGTCCTCTCCATGGTCTCTCTATGGTCTCTCCCTGGTCTCTCTCTGGTCTCTCCCTGCGTCTCTCTATGTATCTCTCTGGTCTCTCTCTGGTCTCTCTCTGGCCTCTCTCTGGTATCTCTCCTGGTCTCTCCCTGGTCTCTCTCTGGTCTCTCCCTGATCTCTCTGGTATCTCTCTGGTCTCTCTCTGGTCTCTCTCAGGTCTCTCTCTGGTCTCTCTTGGTCTCTCTCTGGTCTCTCCCTGGTCTCTCTCTGGTCTCTATGGTCTCTCTGGTCTCTCTCTGGTCTCTTGGTCTCTCTCTGGTCTCTCTCTGGTCTCTTCTCTGCCGTCTCTCTCTGGTCTCTCTCTGGTATCTCCCTGGTCTCTCCCTGGTCTCTCTCTCGGTCTCTCTCTGGTCTCTCTATGGTCTCTCTCTGGTCTCTCTCTGGTTCTCCCTGGTCTCTCCCTGGTCTCTCTCTGGTCTCTCGCTCTGGTCTCTTCTCTGGTCTCTCTTGGTCTCTTCTGGTCTCTCTCTGGTCTCTCCCTGGTCTCTCTCTGGTCTCTCTCTGGTCTCTCTCTGGTCTCTCTCTGGTCTCTCTCTGGACTCACTCTGGTCTCTCCCTGGTCTTCTCTCTGGTCTCTCTCTTGTCTCTCTCTGGTCGCTCCCTGGTCTACTCGGTCTCTCTCTGGTCTCTCTCTGGTCTTCTCCCTGTCTCTCTTGGTCTCTCTCTCTGGTATTTCTATGTCCTCCTGGTCTCTCTCTGGTCTCTCTCAGGACTCTCCCTGGTCTCTCTTGGTCTTTCTCTGGACTCTCCCTGGTCTCTCTCAGGTCTCTCTCTGTCTATCCCTGGGTCTCTCCCTGGTCTCTCTCCTGGTCTCTCCGTCTCTCTCTGGTCTCTCTGCTGGTTCTGTCTGGTCTCTCCTGGTCTCTCTCTGGTCTCTCTCTGGCCTCTCTTGGTCTCTCTCTGGTTGGTGGAGGAGGCGGTTGATGCACGAATGAAGCTTCCTTCTTGTTAATTATCAGGCTTGATGGAAGGGTGAGGATTGACAGATCTGTTGCGGCAGGACTCTCCTGGACTCGAATGGACTGGACTGGGACTCAAATGGACTTGTATGACTCGGAATGGGACTGGACTGGACAGGAGCTGGACTTGATGGATAGAATGGACGGGACTGGACCTAGGGTGGACTAGGACTGGACTCAGACTAAATATACCTTGATACAAAAGAAAAGCCTGGTACACAGATACCACCTCAGAGATTGGACAGTCTCAGACACAGAGAAGTCGCTTACCATGGTCTCAGAGTTGGAACGTTCAGACTCAGAGAAGTCGCTTCATGGTCTCAGAGTTGACAGTCTCAGACTCAGAGAAGTCGCTTCATGGTCTCAGAGTTGAAAGTCTCAGACTCAGAGAAGTCGCTTCATGGTCTCAGAGTTGGAACAGTCTCAGCCTCTGAGAAGTCGCTTCCTGGTCTCAGAGTTAGAACAGTGTCAGATCAGTGAAGTCGCTTCATGGTGTCAGGAGTTGGAAACAGTCTCAGACTCAGAGAAGTCGCTTCATGGCTCAGAGTTGGAACAGTCTCAGACTCAGAGAAGTCGCTTCATGGTCTCAGAGTTGGAACAGTCTCAGACTCAGAGAAGTCGCTGCATGGTCTCAGAGTTGAAACAGTTCAGACTCAGAGAAGTCGCTTCATGGTCTCAAGAGTTAGAACAGTGTCAGACTCAGAGAAGTCGCTTCATGGCTCAGAGTTGGAAAACAGTCTCAGATCAGAGAGGTCGCTTCTGGTCTCAGAGTTGGAACGTCTTCAGACTCAGAGAAGTCGCTTCATGGTCTCAGAGTTAGAACAGTGTCACGACTCAGAAAGTCGCTTCATGTCTCAGAGTTAGACAGTCTCCAGACTCAGAGAAGTGCTTATGGTTCAATTTAGAACTGTCTCAGACTCAGAGAAGTCGCTTCATGGTCTCAGAGTTAGACACAGTGTCAAGACTCAGAAAGAAGTCGCTTCATGGTTATCTGAGTTGGAAAAAAGTCTCTGACTCAGAGAAGTCGCTTCATGGTTCAGAGTTAGAACAGTCTCAGACTCAGAGTAGTCGCTTAATGGTCTCAGAGTTGGAACAGGTCTCTCAGACTCAGAGAAGCTCGTTTCATGGTCTCAGAGTAGAACAGTGTCAGACTCAGAGAAGTCGCTTCATGGTTCTCAGGAGTTAGATCAGTCTCAGACTCAGAGAAGTCGCTTCATGGTCTCAGCGTTGGAAACAGTCTCAGAATAGAGAAGTCGCTTCATGTCTCAGAGTTAGAACAGTCTCAGACTCAGAGGAAAGTCGCTTCATGGTCTCAGAGTTAGAACAGTTCTCAGACACAGAAAAGTCGCTTCATGGTCTCAGAGTTGGAACAGTCTCAGACTAGGAGGAAGTCGCTTCATGGTCTCAGAGTTGAACAGTCTCAGATCAGAGAAGTCGGCTTCATGGTCTCAGAGTTGGAAACAGTCTCAGACTCAGAGAAGTCGCTTCTTGTTCTCAGGTTAGAAACAGTCTCAGACTCAGAGAAGTCGCTTCATGGTCTCAGTGTTTGGAACAGTCTCAGACTGCAGAGAAAAAGTCGCTCATGGTCTCAGAGATGGAACAGCTCAGACTCAGAGAAGTTCGCTTCATGGTATCAGAGTCTAGACAGTCTCAGACTTCAGAGAAGTCGCTTCATGGTCTCAGAGTTGGAACAGTCTCCAGACTCACAGTGGAATCCTGAACTTGTTACTCACAAATGTTATTTATTGAAATATGTGGAAAATCACTTGTCTCATGAACATGCAGGTGGGACTGGACTGGCTGGACTGGACTGGAATAGACTGGGCGGGACTTGGCTGGCAGGACTGGACTGCGCTGGGCTGGGAGGACTGAACTGGGCTGGACTGGATGGGCTGGGCTGGACTTGGCCTACACACACAAAAACACATGCTCAGTATGAATGTGTGTGTGGATGCGATTGTGTTGTATTGACTCTGTTAGAACCGGGCCGTAGCCATAACTAAAAAGTAGCCATGGAGCGGGTGAGGCGAGTTGGTGAGAACACCATCAACCCGGACCCAGGAGAGTCCGTGTCTCTCTCTGGTTGTTTATGTTTCTAGTTCTTTGTGATATTAATGTTTCTTTTTTGGTTTTGAGTTGTCTTCTGTATGAACTGTGCTACACTATTAAACTTGCTCAGCCCTTTGCTCCGACACTGAGAGAGGGTCAGAGACAGGGACCTAGACTCTAGACCTCTCTCTCGGTCTCTCTCTGGTCTCTCCTGGTCTTTCATGGACTCTCTTGGTCTCTCTCTGGTCTCTCCTGGTCTTTCCCTGAGTCTCTCTCTGGTCTCTCTCTGGTCTCTCTCTGGTCTCTCCTGGGTCTTTCCCTGGTCCTCTCTGGTCTCTCTCTGGTCTCGCTCTGGTCATCCTGGTCTTTCCCTGGTCTCTCTCTGGTATCTCTCTGGTCTCTCTCTGGTCTCTCCCTGGTCTTTCCCTAGTCTCTTTTGGTCTCACTCTGGTTTTCTCCTCTGGTCTCTCTCTGGTCTCTCTCTCGGTCTCACTTCTGT